CCTCTCGCCCCAACCCTCCATCCTGTCCAGGTCCCTCTGAATGGCAGTGCAGCCTTCAGGAGTGTCGGCCACTCCTCCCAGGTTGGTATCACCCACAAACTTGCTGAGGGTGCCCTCTGTGCCCTCGTCCAAGTCACTGATGAACAAGTTGAAGAGCACCGGGCCAGTACTGACCCCTGGGGACACCACTGGCCACAGGCTTCCAACCAGACTGGGCCCCATTTATCACCACCCTCTGGGCTCTGCCATCCAGCCAGTCCTCAATCCACCTCACTGTCCACTTGATCAGTCCACAGTTCCAGAGCTTTCCTATCGTATTTCCCACTAAACCATCTCTGTTTGTTAGTATCAGGTCTAGCAGTGCCCTCCCCTTGTTGGCTTATCAGCCACCTGCATCAAGAAGTTATCTGCAGTGTCCTGCAGGCACCTCCTGGACTGCCTGTTCCCAGCTGTGTGGTCACCCCAGAAGACACCAGGGTGGTTGAGGCCCCCCATAAGGACCAGGGCCTGGGATCGTGAGGCTTCTTGCAGCTGCCTGTAGAAGGCCTCATCCACTTCCTCTCCCTGATCAGGAGGCCTGTAGTAAACTCCCATGACCGTGTCACCCTTGTTGGCTCACCCACAGCGCCCCGCGCTTCATCCTCCCCTATGCTGAGCTCCATACATTCCAGTGGCTCTCTCAGGTAAAGAGCAACTCCACCATCTCACCTTCCTGTCCTGTCCTTCCTGAAAAGCCTAAAGCCATCCATGGCCACGTTCCAGTCATGAGAGCTGTCCCACCACGTCTCAGTAACTGCATTGAGATCATGGCCCTGCAAACGCACATGCATCTCCAGTTCCCCTTGTTTATTCCCCACGCTGCATGCGTCTACGTAGAGGCATTTGACTTGGGCACCCAACGTGTGTGTCTCTCTCTCTCTCTAGCTGGGACAGCTGTAACACGACTATGTAACCTTCATAGAATCATAGAATGCTTAATGTTGGAAGGCACCTCCAGAGGTCATCCAGTCCAACCCCCTGCACACGCAGGGTCACCTAGAGCACATGGCACAGGACTGCATCCAAGCGGTTTAGATCTCCAGAGAGAAGGAGACTCCACAACCTCTCTGGGCAGCCTGTTCCAGTGCTCTGGCACCCTCACTGTTAAGAAAATGTTCCTTAAGTTCCTGTGGAATTTTTGGTGTTTCAGTTTGTGGCCATTTCCTCTAGTTCTGCCGGTGGCCACCACTGAAAGAGGCCAGTACCATCCCCTGCACTCCCTCCCTTGAGGTACTTATAGATACTGCTCAGGTCCCCTCTCAGCCTTCTATTCTCCAGGCTGAACAGGCCCAGCTCCCTCAGCCCCTCCTCATAGGGCAGATGTTCCAGGCCCCTGACCATTCTCGTAGCCCTGCGCTGGACTCTCTCCAGCAGCTCCACATCCCTCTTGTACTGTGGAGCCCAGAACTGGACACAATACTCCAGATGTGGCCTCACCAGGGCTGAGTAGAGGGGCAGGATCACCTCCCTCGACCTGCTGGAGACACTCTTCTTAATGCA